CAAGTGGTACATGTGGTGGAACGAGATTATGTACACAGGGTCCCAGTTACGTCCAACAATAAAATGTCAAAGAAAAACAGTAATAAGATATAAATTAAGAAAAACATCAACTAAAAATACACTAAGCACTAATAGCATAAAAAACAATAAAAACATTACGGCAAACAGCAGCACGAACATGAATCTGTGTGAGCAGATGAGCACGCATGAACGCAGCAACATGAAACAGATCAGCAGCAGCAGGATGTGATTTTTTCCACAGTGATTATTCTGGTTAGAGATTCATGATTCTAGCAGCTTCAGGGTAGAAGCTGTTCCTCAGTCTAGTGGTTCTACACTTAATGCTCCTCAACCTCCTGCCTGAGGGGAGTGGGAAAAAAAGTGTATGTGCTGGGTGAATGGGGTCCTTCATGATGCAGGTGGTCCTCTTCCTACATCTGGAGGTGTAAATGGCTGTGATGGTGGGGAGGCTGACTCCAAGAGGCTTCTGTGCAGCCTTCACCACTCTCTGCAGAGTTTTTCTTTCTGCAGCTGTGCAGCCTCCATGTCACACATGGATGCTGGAGCACAGGATGCTCTCCATTGCACAGGACTGAGCTTCCCAGACCAGCTCGCCTCAGTGGGATTGGGATGAATTTGGCAATCTTCAGGCAGGTGAGAATTGTCTCCAGGGTAAGTGAGGAGTTAAAGATGTCAGCCAGCACCTCACAGAGCTTATCAGCAGCACAGTCTTTCAGCACCTTCCCGGGGATGTTGTCTGGGAGGGTTGCTTTGTGAGGGTTAAACATATATACATACTATATATATATATATATATATATATATATATATATATATATATATATTTATTTTTTAAATTAACTTATTGGTTGGCTGGACCGAAGTCACCCGCGGGCTGCCAGTTGAATAGCACTGGCCTATAACCATTGTGAAGCACATAATAATGAATGGTGGATAATGATATAATTGCTCTAGCTGTTTGTTTGTTTTTTGATACTTTTTTCTTTTTGAGTGTCCTTTTGGTTGCCATTTTATTTTAATTTGTAAAATAAATAAAAATCTGTATGCCTCTTTTATGATATATATATTTTTTTAATGACAGTTGTGTAATTTAATTTCTTGAAGTGCAATAGTGTAAATTGTCTTATTCAAAAAAGTTTCAGACCTTCCTTGACTATGTTCCGAGAAATTGGGGGGGCGGGGCAAGGGTTGTTCGCTCAGGGCATCAAACAGGCTAGGACCGCCCCTGTTCTATTTCTATTGTTTGATTTCATAATTTGCAGTGAGAAGCTTTAATATACAGTTTGTGTTCTTGTGAGTAAAACACAAAGAAATTACACGTTAGAGATCGAGAAAGCTCCACGTCTCAAAAGTGGTGTAGGCAGGAAAACGGTTGGTTAGAGACCGCCCTTAAACGCATCACTCTTCAAGCCCGTCCTCTCAGGACTTTCCAAGTTTTCTGCACCATCAACAAAAAAAAAAAACGAAGTAAGCGCAGGATTTCCAAAATCTCGTCACAGATCTGTTTAAGTGTCGCGGACATGTTGTGCAGAGCTTCACACTGAGTGCCTTCGCTATGTGGCTCCCCTGCAGATGCACCCTGCGGGCCGCTTCCTTCACTCCGGGTTTCTTCTCATCTCCATGTCTGAATGTTCTGCGCCGAAAAAGCAGCTGGAACTCCGCGGCGTTCATGCCGGAGGCTGCGGCCTTTCAGGGGGTGTCGGGCCGCGACGAGCTGCGGGACTTCTCGGTCTCCGACAGCGACCGCTTCTGGGCCGCCGTGGCCCGCCAGAGGCTGAACTGGATCCGACCCTTCCACAGGGTGCAGGACTGTGACCTGAGCCGAGGCAGGATCGAGTGGTTTGAGGGAGGGAAGCTGAACGTGTCCGGTGAGATTTCTCTTTAAGCCGAACAGAAACTGTAAATAAGGAAGTACGTTTGAGCGTTTGACGCACTTTTTATGGAACAGTGAATGCATCATCATGCTGGCTAATCACTCGCTGTACAGCAAACAGTACCCTGAACGCATCACGTTATGATGAACAATGAGTGACATCTCTGCCTGTTGTGTTTGTGTGCGCGCGTGCAGTGAATTGTTTGGACCGCCACGTGCACACGTGTCCAGAGAGGGTGGCCCTGATCTGGGAGAGGGATGAGAGGGGGTCAGAGGTCAGGTACACCTACAGGTCAGTACTCGGAGACAGTAGAGGCGTTGTTGTTGTTGTTGTTGTTGTTGTTGTTGTTGTTGTTGTTGTTGTTGTTGTTGTTGTTTACATAATATTTTTTTGTGTTTTCCCAAATTTCTGACATCTGTTAAAGACTTGAATGAAATTCAGTCCACCAGTTTACATCAAACACAACATTCTCAATATTTTGGAGTAACAACCAAACACACCTTCAGACCAAATCTACAGAATGTTGCACCGATCAACATTTATAGAAAGTCTGTTTTTCCACTGTCATTAAAGGCAGAAAGCACATGGTTTGATGATGAATATAATTTAGAATTTTTTGTTAGGTCATAATAGAATAAATACATAAATATTCAACTTAAATTAGCAATCAGTTTAAACAATTTTTCAATATACAAGACCTGAAAACAAACAAAAAAAGTTATGATCAGACTTCAAAAGTTCAAAGTTTGTTTTTGTCTTTCCAAATAAAATATATTTACATATTAATTTTGTTTCTGACAGTGGTGCTTGAAAGTTGGTGAAGCCTTTAGAATTTTCTGTATTTCTGCATAAATATGACCTAAAACAGTGGTTCCCAACACTGGTCCTTGAGGAACACCATCCTGCATGTTTTAGTTGTTTCCCTGCTCCAACACACCTGATTCAGTGATTTAATTGTGTCATCAAGTTCTACAGAAGCCTGTTAGTCACCCATTGAAAACAAATCAGTTGTGTCAAAGCAGGGAAATGACTAAAACACGCAGGATGGTGTTCCTCAAATACCAGGGTTGGGAACCACTGACCTAAAACATCATCAAATTTTCACACAAGCCCTAAAAGTAAATAAAGATAACTCGGCTAAACAAAACAAAAATATTATACTTGTTTATTTATTGGGGGAAATGATCCAATATTACATATTTGTGAGTGGCAAAAGTATGTGAACCTTTGCTTTCAGTACCTGGTGTGACCCCTCTGTGCAGCAATAACTGCAACTAAACATTTCCGGTAACTGTTGATCAGTCCTGGACACCGGCTTGGAGGAATTTTAGCCATATAAGGGCTATATTTGGCCTGCCAGCCTTGAGTTTGGTACACGTTGTACCGGTAGTTCATCAGCATGTCGTTTGCAGAGAGTTACTGGAGATGACCTGTCGTGTGGGAAACCTGCTACGGCGGCATGGCGTGAAGAAGGGGGACTGCGTTACCATCTACATGCCCACCTGCCCTTTGGCTGTGGCTTCCATGTTGGCGTGCGCCCGTATCGGAGCGGCTCACAACGTGGTGTTCGCAGGTTTCAGTGCAGAAGCCCTCGCAGAGCGAATACGAGACGGTAAGACCTGCTGATGCTTCCTGGGTTTACACAACACATCTGAAAACTGCGCTCATTCTTTCATATCAACAGTGGAGCAAAAGTACGGCAAGTTGTTGTAACAAATATTCAAGACACGCTTCTATCACTTAGGACTTTTTTATATAGAGTATCAGTGATGGCATTTATATTAGTCAAAATTACATTCTTACAAGTTAAAATTAAAATGAAAGTGTTCTAAAATAGCAATCCTTTGCTTAGAATTACATTTCAAAATATCCTCATTTGAGACTGTATTAGAAAAACTAATTTTAATGTATGTAAAAGACTTCTAAAAGTTTAGGTGACTAATTCAGCATTTAATATCTGATCTGGCCTTTTTTTCAGATATGCAGAACTCAGTTCTTCCTAGTCAAATATCCATAAGGTTCTTTCATCCTATCTACAAGAATTACTTCAGATATTTCAAATGACATTTTTTTTTATTCCAAAACTATATCAACAAAATTTTGGGGCATTTAAAATTAAGTTTTTGATAAGGGATTGTAGGTATCTGAAATGTGAGCTTCTTTTTGTTTTTCAGATATCCAAAAGGTTTATTCTAAACAGAAATATGTCTATTTCTACTGGTGAACATCCAAAGCATGAAAAGAAAAAGTTACATTTGTTCAAGGGAGAATAGTGTTTAAAATATGTCAGACCTTCTGGTTAACTTAAGGAAAAACTGAATTATAGATAGCTCCTTTTTGAAGACTGTTTCTCAACCATTACTGGTATTTAATACACTTGCTTGGTAATCTTTTTCTAGAAGAGATTAATTTTTATTGAACTGATTAAAAAAGGCAACCAGGAGCAAATTTCTTCCTGTTTCATCTTCCTTCATATTTGTAGCTGAGTCCAGCACCGTCATCACGGTGAACCAGGGGGTCAGGGGAGGAAAGGTCACGGAGCTCAAGAAGACCGTGGACGCAGCAGTGCAGAGCTGTCCAAATGTACGGCAGGTCTTTGTTGCCATGAGAACAGACAATCCAGTCGCCATGACAGCCAGGGACATCGCCATGGACGAGGTGAGAAACAGACCAAAAACATGTTAGGCTGATTGGAAACTCTAAAATTGTCCCTAGGTGTGAGTGAGAGAGTGAATTGTTGTTTGTCTCGTTTGTCTCTATGTGTCCCTGTGATGGACTGGAGAGACCTGTCCAGGGTGTCCTCTGTCCCTCACACAGTGATGGCTGGACATGGGCACCGGCGACCCAAAAAGGAAGAAGCGGTTAAAGTTAATGGATGGATGGATGGTTTTAAACACCCCAAATGTTCAACACAAGCATATTGATATTACCCAAGTTGTCCCTTATTGCACTTATTTAGTTCTTATTACAGCGTTTCTTAAGTTCAGTAATGGCTGACCGATACCATCTATTTTTAAATCTGTTCCTGTCTGGATTGATCTGTACTTTTTCCCTGATGGCAACAATTCAAACAGATCATGTCCAGGGTGAGATGTGTTCTTTAAGTTATTGTGGGCTTTTCCTATATGCAGTGGGAACCATGTGGAGATCTTCCAGTGAGAGAAGAGGGCAGCCCACGATCTTCTGGGCTGTGTTGATAACTCTCTGGAGCGCTTTTCTGGCACTGTGTGGCTAAGATACCACACAGTGATGCAGTATGTTAAGATAGATACTTTATTAATCCCAGGGGGCAATTTGAGGCATCCAGTAGCATTTTCTAATGATACAGGGAAAAAAAATGCGTATGAAATCATCAAAAAAGAAGCAGAATACACAAATTTGGAAAAAGACAATATACACTTGCACAAGGTGGTAAGGAGTATGATTAACCTATATATGAATACATACATACACATCTAAGCATACACACACATATACTGAATATATATATTCAAGGTTCTTTGTCATTTGCATCACACGTGGTACATGAGGTGGAACAAAATTGTGTACACAGGGTCCCAGTTACATCCAACAAAAGTGTATATGTGCATGTAAATATACATACATACACATACATAAGTGTTGGGGGTACCGTAGATTTGCAAGGCTCTATTGGATGAGGAGGAGTTGAACAGTCGGATGGCCTGAGGGACAAAGGACTTCCTGCGTGGAGCAGGGCTGGGACAGCAGTCTACCGCTGAAGGAGCACCTCTGCTTCATGGTGACGCCATGCAGAGGATGGTCAGCATTGTCCATGATGGATAGTAGCTTAGATGCTCTCTATGACACATTGGTAGAAAGAGACCAGCAGTCTCTGGGTGATGTTATTCCTTCTGAGCACTCTCAGGTAGTACAGTGTCTGCTGGGCCTTTTTCAGCAACTCAGAGGTGTTCTTGCTCCAGGTCAGATTCCCTTCAATATGGACTCCCAGAAAACAGTAGTCAGCTACTCTCTCCGCACAGTCTCCGCTTATAATCGGGTGGGACTGCCACTTATCTTAAAGTCAATGATCAGCTCTGTAGTCTTTGAGGTGTTGAGGAGCAGATAGTTCCCCCTGCACCAAGCAGTCAGCTGTTCCACCTCATCCCTGTAGGTGGACTCACCC